CCCCAGAGCCAAACCCTCACGTGTCATTACACATGATGCGGATTTCTATATTCCCGTCATGGGTATATCTTCACAACAGCTGGACTGTTTGGGCTGAAAATTTGCATAACTATAGTTCCCCATTTTTAATAATTTCCGTGTAAATTTCGTTGTATGTTTTAATTATGGATCCTACGCAAACATCATCTTTTCCCTAAGCTCGGACTTTTGATGTCACTAATCCCGTTATTGGATATCTCATTAACGCATGATCCTTTTATTATGAAAATTTGGGAGGAGTAAGATTGGATCCCTTCCTTTCTAATGGGCTATCAAGCTTGTCTCGGTCGTTACTGGTTAATCTTCGCGCTTCCCTTTTAGGCATTGTCCTCGTTTTTGCAGGAGCTTTAGTCATATCTCCGTTGTTTATGAGTAGTTTCCCCTGTAATTACTTTCATTGGGTCCGTTTGGTGGACATCTATATTTCCTATTATAAACACGACTTTGAATTTTGCATTAGTTCCTGAGGAATCCTTGTTCCGTGGTACTTCCATCCTTGGCTACGTGTGCGGACGTGGGAAAGTAGTTTCCGTGGAGGTTCTCTGATTGTTTTTATAGTCAAATCTTGGTCGATTGTCCTAATTCTTGGTTTAATATTTGCTATAAATTTCCCCGAGAATTCCGTCTCGTTGATGGTAAGCTTGAAGTATTTTTGCTATTTTTCTTTCTTTCGATTTATCGTGTGTAGTCATAATAATTCGTAAAAATTCGTAAAATTCGTTAAAATTTGTGTCCTTCTATTTTCTCATATCTACTTGTTATATGAGGTTGTGTGATTTATCTGGCATATTTCCATAATGGGTTTTCATAGTGTGGCCATTATTTCTCCTACACCGCTCAAACTTGCATTTCTCTGGCTTCAGGAAGAGCCTCCTCTTTCGCAGCGTCTCCAGGACTTCTCGGACGACCTTCCGGTGCTCCTCCAGGGTGGCCGTGAAGATGAGAATGTCGTCCATGTAGCAGATAACGACTTCCCGGTCGATGAAATCCCTAAGGATGTCATTCATCATAGTTTGGAAAGTCGTGGGGGAGTTACACAGCCCAAAGAACATTACCATAGGCTCGAACAGCCCTCGGTTAGTCGCAAATGCTGCCTTCCATTCGTCCCCATCTTTGATCCGGACGTTGTTAAACCCCCAGTGCAAGTCCAGGGCAGAGAAGTACATATTTGGCATTCCGGAGGCGGGCGAGGACGTCCGAGATGAGTGGGAGTGGGTACGAGTTTTTCACGGTGATCTCGTTCAGCTTCCGGTAGTCCTGTACCAGGCGCAGTGATCCATCCTTCTTCTTGACAAAGAAGACTGGTGCACCCATCGGAGACTTAGATGGTCGTATCCACCCGTTCTGCAGGTTCTCGTGCAGGAACTCGTCCAGTTCTTTCTGCTCCGGGCGCGAGAGGGGGAAGGTCTTCCCTCTGGGCAGTTTGGCGTCTGGTACCAGGTCTATAGCGTGATCCCAGGGCTTCCAGGGGGGCAACTGGTCGAAGGCCTCTTTTGAGAACACATCCCGGAAGTCCTGGTAGTGCTCTGGCACCAGCGTCTTGAACGATGCGGGCTCTGCGTCCGGGTCACGGGCCTCCTGGGCCATCCGCTGAGAGGGGGTCATGGTGGCCCTTAGGTCGTGTCCCCAGCCGGGGGGATGATTGCAGCGTAGATCCCATCCCCCGGCTCTAGTACAGGGTCCTGGTCGTTTCGTGCTCACGGCTGTCTACAGGCGGACAGGCAGCGGGACATGACGACTTTCTGTCAAGCCCAGTCTACCTCTGGGTTGTGGTGTAGCAGCCATGAGTGCCCTATGATGAGGGACTGTCGTCCCAGGTTTGCAACTGCGAAGCGGGCGCGCTCTGTGTGTCACCCAAACGTCAGGAGGGCTTCCAACTCTTCGGTTATGGCTCCATTCTCGTTTGGGGTTCCGTCAATGTTACGGATGGGAATGGGTTGTGGGAGAGGGGTTGTCTCGAGCTTGTGCTTCCGGACGAACTCAGGGCTTACGAAGTTCCCAGTGGCTCCTGAATCTAGGAGGGCTGATACCAACACTGATGCGAGGGAGGTCAGGGTGGTTAGTTTCACCATAAGGTTGAGGGATCTGGGGGATTGCTTGGAGAGGACATAGATGGCTGGCGGGGATACTGCCACTTCGGGTGCCGTCTCTATGGTTCTCTTACTCTCACGGGTCGAGGATGCGTTTTTTCTCCTCTTCTTGGCAATAACTCGGTGAAGCTTTGGCATTGGCATTGACTCACGCACGCTGCGGTATTTACATGAGCTATCTTCTACAGGCGCCTGGGACGCATCCCTCACCGGCCACCTTCCTGAAAATCCCCCTGAGCCTCCATCTCTGGCTCTTCAGTTAACTGCCTCTTCAGCCCTTCCATCAGCGCCCGAAGATCCTCAGGGTGGAGACGTCACGCCTGGCGGACTCTGGGGTGTAGGCAGTCTCGTAGGATGTGCCCTTGGGTGTTACAGTTGTAGCACCATCTCTGGTCAGTCTTTGAGCAGTCGAGGTCCATCGGTTGGGGGCCTGTCCCTGTCGTGGGGCGGGCTACTGGGGTGGAGGGTGGAGGCAGTGGTGCAAGTTGTGGGGGCCCGGGCGTGGGTCGTGCCTGTGGTGGGGTCATGATTGACGATGGTCGAGTTGGCGGGAGCGTGGGCTTGGGTGGGAACGCGCGCGGTTGAGTGGCCTGGAACCGTCACCACTGGTTGTCCAGGAGCGTGGCTTCGCGTTTCCACTCGGCCCAGGTAGTGGGCATGGGGCAGAGCCGGTATATGCTCTCCCGGAGGCGGGAGTTAATCGCCTGCTCGAAGTGGTCAACTAGTCCTACATCACCCAGCCTTGAGGCGGGTCCCAATATCTCGAACTCCTGGATCACTTTGTCCACGGAGTCGCTTCCCTGGCAGATGGCTGCCAGCTTCTGTCTGGCTGTGGCTTCCCGGTTCGGGTCCTGGAACATGGCATCGAGTTCTGTGTTGAACTCGTCCATGGTGAGGGGGGGGGAGCCGACCGTCAGCAGCGTGATTGTGCGTTGCGTGGCCCATGCCCCTGCGGGTCCTCCTTTCATGTAAGACAACACGAAAAGGATCTGGGAGAGGGCGGTGGGGAACTCAGCCGTGCGAACGTGGAAATAAATCCCGCACTCGGCCTTAAAACGGTCGAGGTCCTCACTAGCTCCTGAGAAGGGAGTGGGGGGGGGTGACCTTAGGTGGTTTGGGTCTGGGTGCAGGTGTGGGTGGGGGGTGGTTGCAGGCCTGGCTCTCCACAATGGCCTGGAGCTCTTGGAAGTGAGCCAGCAGTTCTTCATACTGCTCTTCTGACACCATGGCTGGGGAGGCAGGGGAGATGGGGGAGGCGGGGGAGATGAGGTTGAAACCTTCTTCTGCTGTCAGGGACGCGTCCGGGGTAGAGGGGGTCCGGATGTATCGCCCGGCAGAAGGGCCCTCGCGGGGTGCGAACCGGGCATGCGTGCTGGTGGGTCCGGGAAGGGACAGCAGTCCCTGGCCACTTAGACTGAAGTGGAGAATGTGAGAAGAAGGTTACTTCTTCGGTTCCCACTTCAGGTACATTTATGTACATGTGGCTTGAGTCACATGACGAGTGCCACGTCACCCTCGGAGACAGCCGCAGGCATCCGGGTGTCCCTGTGGGGGATCCCGAGAGCGTCCGCTGCATGCATGCGTGCTGGGCACAGCAGGGAGCTGTCCGGGGTGTGTGGGCTGGATGGGTCAATAGTACATTGATACAAAGGAAGGTGGTCCATGTAGATAGAAGGAAATAAACAAGAAAAGGAAGAGAGAGAAATGAGATAAAGAAAGGGGAAGAAAGAGAGAAAGGAAAGGGGAGGAGAGACAGAGGAAGGAGGAGGGAGAGGGTTGGACAGCGGGGAGCGGGTGTGGTGTGGCCGGGTGGGTCCGGGTGGGCTCGGGTCAGGCGGGTGTGCCCTGACACTTACCTCCTTTTGGACGTATCACAGGTTCTGCCTTATGACCTTCGGTACCACTCCGCTTCTGTCATCCCTTTGTTCCCGTTCGGATGCCTTCGTTCCGATTCGGATCCCCTTTGTTTCCTTGTGCTTTCACCCCCTCCATTATATATATTGGCACTTGTACATACTCGTTTTAGCACTTAGTCTAAAATCGACCTGAAATGCCCCCTAGAGACTTCCTGCTCACCTACTGTGAAATTAAGGACCAAATGGACAAACAGCAATGGCACAGCGCTCCACTGTCAGGGCACACCCGCCTGACCCAGGTCCACCCGGACCCACCTGGCCACACCACACCCGCTCCCCACTGTCTATCCCCCTCCCCCCTCCTTCCTCCCTCTCCTTCCCCTTTCTTTATCTCTTTCTTTATTTCTTTCTTTTCATCTTCCTCTTCCTGTTTATTTCTTTCTATCTACATGGACCACCTTCCTTTGTATCGATGTACTATTGACCCATCCGGCCCACACACCCTGGACGGCTTCCCGCTGTGCCCAGCATGCACGCATGCAGCGGACGCTCTCAGGATCCCCCACGGGGACACCCGGATGCCTGCAGCTGCCTCCGAGGATGATGTGGCACTCGTCATGTGACTCAAGCCGCATGTACATAAATGTACCTGAAGTGGGAACCGAAGAAGTAACCTTCTTCTCACATTCTCCACTTCAGACTGAGTGGCCAGGGACCACTGTCCCGGATCGGGCCCACCAGTACGCACGCCCGCTCCACACCCTGCGACGGCTTCAGTGCCGGACATTACCCCCGGGCCCTCTCGACCCCGGATGCGTCCCTGACATCCACTTGAGTCACTGAGGCCAAGGTCCCTCCTTGCTAAGTCTCCAGTTCCCCTCCGGAATCGTCTGCCCTCGCCCAGTTCTAACACAATCATCAAAACTTCATCAATGAATAAGTAGTCCACACCACTCCAAGAGTGCATTAGATCTGTACGACTTCGAGAGCCATTTGACTTGAGCATGAGGTTCAGCTGGGACAAATTGAGGGGAGAATGCAAAGTGCTGCCATTGATGTTCTTGGCTGCAGCACCAGTGAAAGCACATATGCGGAAACGGCGGCTCTCATTCATCTTCATGAAAAATGCAGATAAAGCTTTGATCACTTGCGATTTGCCCGTCCCCCCAGCTCCACCCATATACATGTACAACAGCCCACGTTCAGAATGTAGGAGGATTGCATGATCGGTGACCAAGTGAAATGCATGATTTTGTTCCAGGTTAAGACCATATGCAACAGAAACAGACTTGAGTACCCCTTGAATCGAAACAGGAGAGTCCGGTGATGGGTGACAGATTATTTGAGGGAGGAACTCAGAAGTAGATCCATGGTGTAATGAACTTTTGTTTATCAGAGAGGCACCCACACCACCGGGTGTCAGGGAAGGGGAAGTGGACGATGCATTAGCACTGGTTGTTGCTTTGAGAGCTTCCTTCACTGCTTGCTTTCGCAATTTGTAATCATCTGACCACTTCAACTCGAGTGCACCATCATCTTCTACATGCTGAGCAAATGGCAAGTGGAGGGACAGACCGGGGGAATCCGCAGGAAGCATGAGTGCATCAGCCAGGATTTCCTCCATCATGCTATCAATAAATAAACCTGCTTCCATGGCATGGTGAATCACATTGTGAATGTCCAAATCATTACCAAGATGTTGTCAGGGGACAGACCCTGGGTCCCCATGACCCCTCTCTATGGCCCACAGTCTAACCTGTGAACAGCCCTGTCCAGGGCACAACTCTACTGTGGGTAAGAAAGTGTTATAAACAAAGGGGCAAGTAGATACACTTGCCTACTGTGGGTAAGAAAGTGAGAAGAAGGTTAACTTCTCACTTTCCCACAGTGGCCCCAATATGGAGAAAACTTCCGGGGATACCCGGAAGTCACATGAGGTGGGATCCGGGGTCGGATCATGCGGCACGCAGAGCATGCGGTGCAGCAATGTGCGCAGGAAGTGGAGCGGGTCCGGACGCGGGTCCGGGTCCGGGCTAAGTCAGGGTATGTGCCCTGACAGATGTGTATTGTTCCCTCGCTCTTCCACCTCAAGCAGGTGATAAAGAATGGTCTGATCCTCATCAGCATCTGCATCCTCATTGTTTCCCAGAGTGTGGTCAGGAAAGTTAGTAGCTGAAGGGGCAAGTGTTCCTCGAGAACGAGAGCAGCGGTTCACATAATCTTGATCTCGACTGTCTTTACACCCATGTAATACTTGAATGTTGTCAATCACACTTTGAATTTCTGGCAATGTGGTTAGCAAAAAAGCGTTAAAAGCACTTGCCCAGCTGGGAAAATCACCTTGAAGGTCGAGTGGTGTCTGCCATGGTTTGAAAAGGGTGAGCATAACACAAGAGTAGTATTCAACTTTGGCTGGATTGTTGCAGCGTGGAAGGCCTGGCCCAATTGGAACAGGAATCACTCTCCAGTGACGTTTCCTCAATAAATGTGTCAAGTGTTGTGGGTGGGATTCATTCAGTGGTGAACAGGGCAAGTGATGGGCATTGACAGCCTCGCTAGACTCATCATTGGGTGTGTCAGAACTTGAGGCCCCAGAATGAATCAGAACCTTGTCAACCCAACTCACAAATTCCCAAACACTCATTCCATTGAAAACATAGGAATGATTGCATGCTAGATAATCAGACAGTTGATTACAAGGGTGTTCAATTAGACCAGAAGAAGGATTTGCCCCCAAAATGCAAGTCTCTTCAGCCTCAGCAGGATCCTTGGTGTCCATGGCTAGAGTTGGAATTGGCACACCATTGGCATCCAGCATCTCGAAACCCTGTACATAACCTGTGAAAGTGGTCCAAAATAAGGAGCAAAACCGGTGGCTCGTAAAGCAATCATCATAATTAAGCAAATATGATGCAACCTGTGGGGCACTGAGTTCTTGTTTTGCAATTAAAGAATTGGCACATTTTATTAACGTGCTTCTAGCATAATCACAGGAAGAGACTGGCAGTGTTTGGTTTTGTGAAAGTTTGGAAACTGCTGCTTGCAATGCAGTATAAGCAACATGGGTTTTAAGGGGCGTTTTAGTAATGTAGTCAGTGATGTAGTATAGAATGGCTTTTGCAGAAACACCAGAGCCAATGAATTTAATGTCCATGTTACATCAGACTGCTTTGATTATGGTCTCACTGTTAGAAGTTGCAGCCCAACGCCACTGGTGGTCAAGGGAGTCACCCGGGCCGGACATTCACGCTTTGGGAAGGGGAGGGGCGCTTTGAGGCACAAACGGCGGCAACCTCTTAGACTCTTTTGTCTTTGCGCTTTTGTTTTCAACTTGTTGTTTACCATTTATGTTTCACCTCAGTGGTGTAGAGTCATTACAAGATGTATATAAGGACCGGACTTGCACTAGCAGCTGATACCTCACTAATTGAAGTATCGCACTGCGCAGTTATCACACTCACAGTAGTTGTTAATGAGCCCATCGGTGATGCATAAGTTCAGTTCTCCACTCTCCATGTCCATAGAACTGACTTTGCATGTGGATTCAGCAGAGAGGTCAAAGCAACAATCTGAGGCACTGTACTTGTAGCAAGTTGCAGTGTGCTTGTGAGTTTGGCATTTCAACACCAGATTAAACAAGTCTTGTTGGCAGACTGTATGCAAATGCTTCTGTGGATGACATCGAATGCTGCAGGGATGGTAGTCATCAGAAGGTGCTTGTGCAGGAATGGGAACCTCTGGAACCCCGTTACTGATTGTGTCATCCAAAAAGTCCAACAATTGATCTCGCCACCCATAAACCTGCATATTCAGGATCCGGTCCTTAATTTTTTGTGGATTCAAAGCCCCTTCAACCCATACCAGCATGTGACAATGTAAAGTCCCTCATCCTTGGGTTTCAACAGTGCCATAATAAGCTTTGCAGGGCCCCAAAATACCATCTGAGCATATGCCATCAGTTGTGGTGTGACCCAAAATTGCGGTAATAAAAGCATCAATAACCAGTTTGAAGAAGTGAGCAGCCAGGAATGGATTCCGTGTGACAGCAGAGGCCTGTTCCCAATATGAAGGAATATGCTCAGGTAGTTGATTGTCCAAATCAAATTCAGCCCCTGATAAAAATTTAACAATTGGGTTGTAAACATCAGCGGGATTGATCATGATGAAGAAACTGGGAGTACCTTGATCAAAAATCAATGCATGAATCTCATTCCGCATTTGGCTTCGAGCACTTTGCGATCCTGGGACTTTGGCAGTTACTAAAGAAACCTCTCTCATGAGTTTCATCACAGCGTGTTCGTCTGGACTCTGTGGGGTGAACAAAGAAGACCCAGTGAGGCGGCTCAGTGTGTCTTCAAAAGTTGTCACAGAAATTTGTGAGATTGTCTTTGCTACTCCCTCGAAGTTAGATTGCGCAGTTTTTAATTTGCTGTGGAAGGCAGTGGTTTGCCACTGGATGATGTTGAAGACAAGGAATAAAAATGAGTAGTGCTCCTGAAACCGGCGATCAGCAAGGGAGAATAGGTGCTTAGCCATTCGTTCCAGCGTTGTAGGCGGGCACAGCCAGTACCACGCAAACAAGCCAATTATCGCGATTCTACCACCGATGTCAAGCACCCCACCCCCGAAACACATCTACCATTGTTCCAAATACCCTTTCCATGTTTCCCATATTTCTTCCGATTTTTTCAAGCCATTCCTGACCACGCACAACCATCAGTTTCCAAATTGGGTAACTGTCACCCGCATATTCCACCGCTTCCTCTGTATCTCCATCAATTCTCCACCGATCCGGACGAATTTGGTATCGTTGGAAAGCCCTTGTCAACACGAGCCGAACGATGTTACGAGTGACGCATTTGGTTCAGCGGTTGTTCCGATCGCCATGGTTCTTTATTTCCTTAACAACGTCAATATGTCTTTGATATTGCTTTTTTCTCAAGTGTTCCTTGTGGATCTGTTGCCTTCCTAAACCCGTCGGATCATTCGGATTCCCACAGATACTTTTTTCATATTTATAACTGCCTCTTCCCTGTATTTACAAAAAGGACTCCCCCAAAACAGAGAGAGGTGCTCCCAAACGAACATGAAGTTCTAGCAGACGTTACCAGCACCCAGAGCGGCGAATACGAAGCCAAAGAGGCTCAAGACATAGTGCAGGGGCAGAGTTCCCCATCAATTTGATTATCAGTGAGATTTACGAGTTTATCATTTTTTATCACATAGCACCAGACCATTTCTCCTCCCCCCTCCTCATCATCCGAACCTCCCCTGAGCATTCCCAACTCTGTGGCCCCCTCTCTTTCTCGTTAGGGTGGTAGATCCCTTGCCCCCTTACAGCGTCAAAGGGGAAGCACAATTACGATGGTAACCACCAACACCATAAGGGAACAAAGTGGGATATAGTAGTTGAAGCAAATTAACATCAGAGCAATAATTAACCGGATCTGCTGCATGACTGACTTGAATGTGACCCCCAATTTCACCACTAGCACGTTTGAGATGGCATATAGCCGCTGCTGTCATTTCAGCTGAATTAGAATTGCACATATCAATATCGGTCACAACAACACTCTGCAACAAGTTGCAGGGTGGTGGAGATGAGGACAGGAGACCAAACTTGGGGGGGAGTGGATTGTCATAACGTGCACCTTGTGCATCACTTGCCACAGAACCCTGGTGATGTTCAATTGGAATGGGTGCCACATCATGCAAAGGTATCTGGTCCAAATGCCCTTCATGCAGAATGACATCATGGTACAGTGGATTGTTGGCGACAAGCCATTCCAATGCATGATGCACTTTCTCATGTCAAACTATTAGAGGCTGTGCATTAGCTTTGAGCCACTCCTTAGTCAGTGGGATGCAGCCAACAAAAACAATGCACATTGGGGTGATCACATCTGCTAACGCTGGTGGCAAAAAGGGGGATAAGGCTTCCAGTTTGGCCGGAAAGACAATCACATGACCCTTGAGTGCACATTGTGTGGTTGGATTAGAGGAAGAAAAAGAAGCACCTGTTGTATGGACAGGAGGCAGGGAGTCATCATGCGAGTGAATAATCCAGCTCTTTGCATGCCATCTGGCTATTAGAGCTTCTTCAATCAAAGTGAGGTCAGTGAGTTCTGAAGGGATTGGCCCAAAGAACAAATCATTGGCAATGGCAGTGTTAGGCAAACGACGACACTTGAGCGGACGGTGACACTCAGTGCAAATACAAATTGAAATGGAGGAATCGAGGCTAGTCACTACACCCTCGGGTGCAAGCATAATGTTTTGGAGTGCAGGGCTAGAAGGGAAAGGGTGCGGTGCATTGGCAGGGTAACTACCTTCCAAAATCGAAACATTGTATTCATCTAAATTCACAGGTTCTGACAGCATGAACTGACCAAACTTCGCAGCACCACAAACAGCGCATATTTTGGTTGAAAGATGATCAGAATCAATAAGGTGTGGAAGTTAGAGAGCAGACGTGATTTAGACTTGAGTGTGAGCTTTTCTGGCCAATGTGATGCACAATTCTTTTTCCACTCAGTGTAAGTGGCTCCAGTTGAATGTGGCATTGGGGGGGAACAAAAGTCAGCATGTTGCACCAGA